ATCTGAAATATAAAGCTGGGCTCCTGTAGAAGATAATCTGAGAACATCAGACTCCTAGTAAACAGCAGGGTAATTACAAAGGACGGTCAGATCCATCTGTAATCAAGATATGTGAAAATTGGAGAGCCGGAGGCAAGGCCAGAGATGAAGTTGAGAACACCAAGCTCTACACAAGGATTTATCCACACAGGTAATGGGAAGCCTTTTAACAGAGCAACATAATCATATGTTTTGAGATGAGGACTCTGACGGCAGTGTGGAAAGTAGATTGGAAGGGCCATAGGAGAAGAGCTATTGAGAGCTGTGTGTTGTTACTGTAGGTGTAAATGTCAGAGGTTTATCTTTTTGATGGCTGAATAGCATTCCATTGTTTATAGTCGGTACATTTTTAAAATCTCCTCATTATACAATGGAAATTTATGTTGATTCCATACCTTGGATATTATATATTATAAATAGTGTTGCAACTTGGTAGTGAAATGTCTTCAAGGTGATAACTTCATACATATATATATGCACTCAGAAGTAAGTATACCTGATCATATGGTAGTTTTAGTTCTAGATTTTTGTGAAAACTCCATATTGTTTTTTGTAATGACTGTATTAATTTGTAATCCCACCAACAATGTGTAAGCGCACACTTTATTTCTGTCCAAGTCCTCATCAGCACTTGTGTTTAGTCTTTTTGATAATAGCCATTCTAACAAGTATGGGAAATATCTTTCTGACATGGGTTTTGAATGTTTTGCAATCAGGGAATGATAAATATGTGAGGTGATGAGTCTGTTAATAATCTCAATTTGATCAGTATACAACATGGACATGTGCCAGGCATGATGGCACAGGCCTTTGATCTCAGCACTCCGGAGGCGGAGGCAGGCAGAGTTCAAGGCCAGCCTGTTCTACGTAGTGAGTTCCAGGCCAGCTGGGGCTACAGGGAGACCCTGTCTCAAAAAAAAAAAAAAATCATAGACATGTATTGAAAATCACATTATAGCCCACAGATCTGTACAATAATTGTGAATTAAATTTTTAAGAAAAAGTAGTAGTTGGGAACAGAAAAGGAAAATAAACTCAGAGAGACGTGAACACAGTCAGATATTTTAAGAGGTAAAAACGTCAACTCTCAGAGACCAAATAAAGGCTTCAAAAGGAGGTAATGGGGTTACACATGACTTCCAGGTTTTGGAGCACATGGGGAAATGATGATATTGGGAATACTAGAACAGATCAAATTTTGAGAAAACGAAGCTTGGTTTTTGAGTAATGATTGCCATGGTATCTAAGAGGCCTCTATGAAGAAATACCCAGCAAGTCGGCTATTGGATAAATACCAGTGTGTGTGGACATAGGGGACCGGGAATATGGCGGGGGGGGACACAAAAACTTTTCATGTTAAGTAGGGATGTTCTTTTGTGTGCGTATGTGCAGTACTGACTGGTAACTGAACCTAAGGCTTCACACATTCTAAGCAAGTGCTGTGCTCCTGAGCCCTAGTAGGGATGTTCTCTCTGGAAAACGAAAGCACTGACTTCTATTTATGTGCAGGATTCTATTCCCAGTTATAAAGATGTGTGAGATGAAGAATGCAGATGATGAGTTAATGTGTACATTACAGACTCCAAATAGGAGAAACACAACAGATATTGCATTAATGTTCTCTGTTCTATGCCTTAAAAATGCAAGCAAAATGCTGAATCATCAATCACTTTGACATTGGTATGTGGTAGCCTCACGGTACTCAGAAAACTTTCTAATCACAGAAGGTTCAAAACCAGCTGCTGCTGAGGCCAAATGTGATCACAGGCCAGAAAACTGACATGCAATTTGATTCTGTAACCTCAAGGTCAAGAAACTGGAATTGACCCAGAATTTGTTGGATTGTTTCAGATTTTTAGGGGTTTTTCTTCCCCTCCATGATGAACATTTCAGTCTAGTTAAAAAGATCTCAAACTTCCATGATATTTTTTTAAAAAACAATAAACCAGATTTTTTTTTAAAAAAATGCTTTGAATATTGAAATAACATGCACAAAGTCCACTTGTCAGCACACAGGCTGGACCTGCTTTACCTGAACCAGAACTTTTCCTTCCTGCAAACTGTTTTTGTAAGTAATGCTGCCACCTAGCAGTCTCTGCGGGGAATCACCACTTCAACAGGCAAAGCTTTGGGTGGACACATTCTAGATTTGTGTGGGATTCAGTGCATGCAAGATGAATTTGAAGTTAATTACTTTTTACAAATGACTTTTCCGCAGGTAAAGGTCTTGAGGCAATTGTGTGGCAAACAAGAAACTGCTGAAAGCAGCTCAGTCTAGTGGGAAATGGTGGCCAAAGTCAATGTTTGCATTTGTCAGATGCATCCAACCCTCACATTAAATATGTGCAGTTCTTTGCCTCTCAGTTATAACTCAATAAAGCTATCTAAAAGCAAATAGAAGTAAGAAAATAATAGCAAACCACTTCCTTTGTAAAACTTGGGTGCATTTGTAACAAACACAAACTTCTACAGGTTTCTTTCGGGGGGGGGACAAAAATATGATTGGTCCCTGGTCCCTCTCAAAGAGGAATTGCTCTTTGGCCAGAGAACTTGTGGAGTCATAATCTCAAGCAATCATGAAGGTGTCCAGTGGAAACCTAAGTGACATATTAATTCACGTCAAGAATGACTCACAATTAAACTAAAGCTGTTCCTTCATATATTTTAAATGTTTGTGCTTTCACAGAGGTTTTTTAAAAATCTGACATTTATTGAATGGAATCTTCCCAGAGATTAAGTAAAGTACTTTCCAAGAACTATGATGCAGCCTACATGACCTCTGACATGGGGTCACTGATTCTAGTCCCACTGTCATTGTCATAAGAGGCACTAATAAGGGCTCATTAACAAGCCAAATAAGTGCTGGAGTTGGGACGCAAACCCAGCCTGCATGGCCTTGCCTCAGGCTGTAAAATTTGCTATCCTGCTGAAAGGTATGTGGAGGCAAAAGCTGGCAGACGTTCAATGGGTAAAGCATTTGTTCACAGTATAAAATCAGTTTCTGTTTCCTAGCTGAGCTGAATGGCATGAGAGAAAAATGGTTTCAGTTTTGTCATAGTGACATTTACCTCCAGTTCTATTACAAACTGCTTCAAAACTATGAGGATTTTTATCCCATCAGTGATTTAAAGCCCTGGCACGGGCCTCTGTTCAGTGCCTACTGATTGCCTAGACTGGCAGGTTTGGCCAGTGATGCCATCTCACCATTTCAGAGCGTTTCATTTTTCAGTAACATCACAGAGCATCCTGGTTGTTGTTGCTGCTCCACATTAGATGTTGGGGCCTGTTTGTCCCTCTCACTGTCCGTGAGGTATCTGAGTATCACATTAGGAAGACGACACTGTCCGAATAAACACTGAAGATGATTCAAATGTATAGGGTCATGCTGAAATGACTGTCTCCGCATGTTATGTGGCTTATCTCTGCCAGGCCCAGGCCTGTGCTGCTCAGACTTTTTCGAATGTATTCATATTACCTGAGGGTCTTGTCAAAAGGCAGGACTAAGGATTTGTTTTTTGTTTTGTTTCAGTACTAGGAACTGAACCCAGGGTCTCATGCTAGTAGACAAACCTTCTACCACTGAGCTATATCCCCAGCCTTCTGTTTACTTTTTATTATTTTGAAATGGAGTCTCACTAAGTTGCCCAGACATGTCTTGAATTCAATTTGTAGCCAGACTGCCTTAGGTTCCTGAGTTGATGGGACTGCAGATCTGCCAGCCACCAGACCTTTTGAAACTTGTTCTTAGATGAAACTGATGATGTTGACCACAATTTAAGGTCTAAGGTATGAAGGTTCCCAGTTCTAATTAATTTAGAGAAAGAATCTGATTTGATTGCAAAGTCAAGGAGAAAACCTTCTCCATAATTTTCTAATTTCCCCCAAGTTTTTAATGTATCTATGTCTCTTTAAAAGAGGTACCTACCAAGCTGGGTGTGGTAGCCCACACCTTCAATCCCAGTACTCAAGAGGCAGAGGCAGGGAGATCTCTGTGAAACCAAGGCCAGCCTGGTCTACATAGTGAGTTCCAGGCCAGCTGGGGCTAGAAGGAGATCCTTTCTCTAAATAAATTAAATAAATGAATGAATGAATGAATGAATGAATGAATGAATAAATGAATAAATAAATAAATAAATAAATACAAAAAAAGGCCCCTATCAGCCATTTTAAAAATAAAATGTTTGGGGCTGGTGAGATGGTTCAGTAGATAAAGGTACTTGTTGCTAGGCTTGACAATCATAGTTCAATCCCCAGGACCCACATAATAAAAGGAGAGAACAAACTCCTGCAAATTGTCCTCTGGCCTCCACACCTGTGCCATGGTACATACATACCTGCACGCATGCACAGACATACAGACACACACACACACACACACACACACACACACACTAAATAAATAAATAAATAAATAAATAAATAAATAAAATGCAATTTAAAATTTTTAAATTTTTTAATAAAATGTTTGATTTGACCCTAAATCAGTTCAAACTTTCTATCATCTGGGCATCTAAGTTTTTGGAATTCATACCCTTACTCCTAAAGAGTACCTTAGTGGGCTGGGACAGAAGACTCAGTGGTAGATGTTTACCTAGCCTATCCTAAGACCTGGGTTTGGTCCCTAGCACTGCAAATGAGAGAGTACCCTGGAGCCTCCAAGCTGTTACCATTCTCTTCTTTTTTGCAGCTTCAAATTACTGGCATTTTAAATCTGCATTTTCAAACACTATTTTATTATGCTAACAGCACTGTGAAGCAAATTCATAAATTTTGCAAGAGGAATTTTTTTCCTATAAAAGCAAGCTCAGCAATATTTGGAGGCTTTGAAAACTGACAATGCAGCTGACCTACTGGAGACAGGCAGTGGGAGGGCCCTGATTGGTATAAATAAATAGGAGTCTGGAGCTGCGAACCCATAGCTTGGACTCAGAGCCGAAGTCTGAACTCCACCTCCAGGCAGAATGAGGCTCAGCACCGCAGCCCTGCTTCTCCTGTTGGTCAGCAGCCTCTCTCCAGGACATGGTGAGAATTTCACTTACCATTTCACTCTCCTTTGAACAGAAATGGTCTTCAACCATTCGTTTTTTGTTTTTTGGTTTTTTTTTTTTTTTCAATTAAAAATTGGGAGGAAGTCTCACTATTGGGGAAAAAAACTACCCAGTTGCTTCTAGATTTTTAAGAATAAGGTGTTTAAGTGGTTTAATTCCTAGAAAATTGAAGCTTTTCTATTTTTATTTACAGAAAGAGGAGACCCTAGAATGCTGATGTGATTTCTATTTGGTGTATATGTTGCTAACTTTGCCAGTCAGCTCCTGCTGTGATAATTCTTGGCATATCTTTTCTTTGTTCTGCCTCTCAATGCTACTCCCATCACCAATTCTTGGTCTCTTGCATCAAACATTTCCAAGTCTAAGGGAACAGCTGTCTTTGTGTAAGTAGATAAACACCTAGCTGAAGTGGTAAAATTTCTATATGGCTGAAGGAATGGAAGTGTATGTGGGGAAAACCCTATTCAGGTTTACAGGACAAGTGTTTATTATGCAGCAGTTCCTCCTCCCCCAGGTTTACAGGACAAGTGTGTATTAACGTGAAGAAATCACCCCCTCCCTTTTTTCTTGGCTTCACGTGCCACTTTCACTCTTCAAAACTCTCATTTCTCTCTTATTCCATGAAGCTTTCCTGCTGCTGTTGGCCAAGTTAGCTACTCAGAAATGCTCTGTTCCCTGCATCAACATAGAGCTGTAATGTAATTTCCTGTTCAACCTACTAAATTGTGAACACCTTGAAAATCTTTTATTTAGAAAGAAAACCCTTTCATTTATAAAAAGAATTTGATAGATTTTTTTTTTTTTTGAGACAGGGTCTTACTATATAGCCCAGGCTGGTCTTGAACTCAGTCCTCATTCCTCAGCCTCCCAAGTACTAGGATTATAGGTGTGAGCCATCACCTCCAGCATAAATTTCTTTAAAAAAAAAAAAACAAAAAAAACCCCTTAGAGTTCATGAAAATGTATGAGACAAATTATTAATTAAAATGTCTAGAACTAGTAAGTATGATGACTGAATACAAATAGTTGTGAATTTTTATTATTGGTTTTCATTTGGTAATGATTTGTGACTAAGATAGAGAAACAACATATTAAGCATGAATGAAGACATGTCATTTATACATTTTCTCAACACAGAGAAGAGAGAGTGAGAAGAGTATCAGAGAAAAAAAACCCTGGTGGAGCTTGTTGCTGTTTATGCAGGTCTAGAGCAGGATCTTGCCCTCTGAGTTTGGGTTAGAAGTGGAGATCAGTTGATTTGACGTGGCATTTATTGTAACTTAGTCATATGTTTTTAAAGCAGCAATTCTCAAATCCTCTAAATATCAATACAATGCTACTACAAATTTCAGTAAATATTATTATTGTTAAAAGCTAATTTCATTTTAATTAAAGTTTTGGTAGAAAATGTTTGAAAACGCTCAAGGCAAAACAAACAGAAATAAAATCACAAAAGTACAAGTGCTGACTTGACGTGTTCAAATCTTATGAAATGTTCAATATAAAAGATGATTCTGGTCTAAGTTATATATTAATGGGGTAAAATAACTGATGCTGTGTTTACAGGTATTCTGGAAACCCATTACACAAACCGGAAGTGTAGATGTTCTAAAGGAATCTCTACCCTTATCCATCCAAGCATTGTTGAGCGGGTTCAAGTTAAACCCCCTGGAAACGGTTGCCCACAGGAAGAAATAATGTAAGTTACAAGAAAAAAAAAATCTTTCTCTCAATCAAAATCAGATGAAATACACATCCAACAAACATACATTATGGTAACAAGAATCCCAAAGAGATTTGCTTGAATGTTGCTAAATCGCTGAAACTGATAATGAGAATTTGTAAAATTCAACCAACCCAAAATTAAATGTTTTACCTTCATTCATTCATTTTATTTCTTAAACTGCTCCACTGAGGCATGTCTACAGCTGTTACTCTGTTACAGATGCAAAAACTGAGGCTTAGGGAGGTTAACCAACTGCCTGAGACATGCCATTAGGCAGGGATGGATGGACTCAGAACTCCACCACGGTTCCCTGCTCCAAAGCCTCTTCTACACAAGAATAATGAGAGATACATTAGGCAAAGCATCTTTCTCAGGGACAAAATTTTTCTATTTCCCTTTCCCTTCCTTTCTCCTTCCCCTCCCCACCCCACTCTCTTTATGGGCGGTGCTAAGGAGGCGACCCAGGACCTCAACCTGTAAAATAGAAATACAGGTTATCAAAAATATATATGAAAAATTTTCACTGAAATGACATTAAATTTTACTAATGTCTTTACCAATGAAAGTTCTAACCAGAACACAATTATCGCCCTCAAACTCAGCAGTAAGTCTAGGCATGCTGTATTTGGGAGCAGGTGGGTCTAGCAGCTGCTTGAAACAGCCGAGCTCCTGTTCTCTCAGGCCTCAAGCCTCTCACCTCTCAGCCAAGGGAAGTAACACACCCTAATTTCCTCTATCAATTTTCCTAACATCAACTGTTCTGAAATAGTGAAAATTTTACTATATATCTTCTTGTCAAATTCAGCATTTTTGAACTTTAGCCACATATAGAAATGAAGCTGCAAATTATTGCGAGAAATTCATACCAGTCAGGGATGGAAGTACCAGGTGGCTATAAATCTGTTTTTCCATCATGAACTCAAAAATCAAATTGGAAAAGGATCCTAAGAACCCATTTCTTCTAATTTCTCTATGTTTCATCTACAAAGATAGAAATTCAAAGGAAGATGGATGGATGGATGGATGGATGGATGGATGGATGGATGGAAGGATGGCCCCTTATTCTTTGTCAGTTTATAGCTAAGATGCCTGGCACATGAAGGGATTATGTTTTTCTTTGAGGTCACACCAGTAGTGAGTACAGTCTCCCAGTTTCCCTTGGCTTTGGATACCTCCTTTTCCCCTGCAGGGAAAACCCTTAGCATCATTCTAGAATTGGTAACTATTGGGCTCATACTCCTGGAAAGCAGGTGCTGAATGTATGGGTGTTGAAGTCAAGTTAGCCCTTTCTTGAATCTTGCTGTATTGTCTTACAATCTTGGATAAATTATTTGCACTCTCTGAACTTTAAGTTCTTAAGCAGAAGGTTAGGGAGTAAGAGTTCTTCTAGTAAAGGATTTTTGTGAGATGAATTGAGGAAAATCCATGTTACCTGTTAAGCTTAGCATCGATATATTACAAATACAATATTTGATAAACGTCAGCCATTAACTGATTGCTGCTATTGTTATTGCTTACTTTCTTAGGACAAGAAAAGTCTTGCTAACTGATGGTTTGGCAAAATGTCACTGAGAACAATCAGCTTTGAAACTTCTTCCATATTAAAATTCACTAATTTTTTTTCAGATGAAAAGTCCATGACATAGTGTTTTCTACAGTCTGTCTTATTCTCCTGAGTTCAATGGACAAGCACATTTTAATATTGGGATATAACTTTAAAAGTGACCCAATCTTGGAGTCAGCTATTTGGCCCCTCTCCAATTTGTATAAAGGTTATCAACAAAACAGTCACTTATGGCATGTGAAATTCTGTCAACTTTGGATTCCACCATTTCTCATATATTAATCTACAAATTTTTTTTAATTTCTTGGGCTTCATGCAATAAATCACCTATTCCAGATCCAAAATGTCTCCGTTCAAATTTTACCTCATCCAGGAATAATTATTTTCATACTTAACTCTTGTCATTATTTTAAAAAATACAGGATTGACTAAAATATAATGCTGTCTCATTTTTATTTTTATTTCTTCCCAGAATCTGGACAAAGAAAATGTTTCCTTTATGCTTGAATCCTAAAGCCAAATGGATACTAAATGTAATAAAACTTTCACAAAGGTAAGTCAGGCATACTACAAGCCTTTCAGATTCCCATTGTACCAAAAGATTTCCATTTCCCAGACAGTCAAGTTGGGGAACATTTTAAAGTTATGAAAGGTTCATAAGACAGATGCCTAGGCTTGGCTCTTACTACTTATTGGCTAGAGAGGGTTGACTCGTTCCACCAGTTCAGTAAAGTCAGTTGTAATCAAGTGTGCACAATAGTCCTTATTTGGTGTCTCCAAGGGAAAGTCGTAGTTTCTTGTGTGCATTCCTCTAAACGTGACTTGTTTTGTTTTTATTTCACAGCAAAAGTTTATCTTCAACTCCACAAGCTCCTGTGAGTAAGAAAAGGACTTCCTGATGCTACCATCACCTAAACAACACCTTCATCCTCCCTTTATCCCTGCTCTGAATTTTAGTTTTGTTCTTGGTTAAATCATTTTCAAAGAAAATAACTTCCTCATACAAACAAACTTGAGAGTATAGGTATAAAGAACCCTTCTTTTCATACTGAACCCACAATCTGTAGCTTGAATTAACAAGAAAATTATAGGATGTACCTCCATTATTTTATATCCTTAAGAAAAGCAAATTTCCACAAGAGATGAGAAAATCTTCCTGAGAAATTGATGGAACTCAGCCTGACAGGATGAGAAAGCTCAGCATAGTAAGTCTCCTCAGGAGAAAGCCACTTGAGGAAAATGGATTCCTACTTGTAAAAAGTTCTTTTGTAAGATTTATTGTCTCACATTAAAACCAGTAACACTGAAAGATCCCTCAGCTTAACATTCCAGACTATTCAGCAGTGTACAAATTTCTTCTATTACATATTGGTCTTGATGAACATTTTTTATTCACCTCTTTCACACAGACAAAATACCGGATTCTGGTATCAAATTGTTTACTGTTTCCTACTAATCTAATGTCATCCAATAAATTTGATCAAATATTTTGCTTAATTATGGTCAATTCATTTTTAACAGAACATTCACTCAAACCGAGATGTTTTCAGCTGTATATATGAAAACTAAGGTTTCAATCACATTCATTTTTCTTTGCATATTAGAGAGTCCTCTACAAATGACTTAAAAGTATGTCAGCAACAAGAGCATCATGCAGTGGGAATGGCTTGGCTCTGAGAGCTTCTTTCCCCTGGCATGCTAACCATGATTTCCTCCAGACTCCAAACTCTTACTCAAACCCTTTCTCACCGCCTATTTATGTGAATTTTTTTTTTTTTTTTGGTCTTTTTGAGACAGGGTCTCCTTATAGACCCTGCTGGCCTGGAACTCACTATGTAGACCAGGCTGGCCTTGAACTCACAGAGATCCACCTGCCTCTGCCTCCCGAGTGCTGGGATTAAAGGCGTGCACCACAATTTTTTTTTAAGTTGCCAATGTTTCATCTGTCGACGTTTTCCACTGAGTTTGACAAGCAGGAGACAAACTCCATTCTTTCCCACCATGTGCAGAGAGGTACACGGCTTCTTTCCATCCCTCCTTTTCCAGCTGCTGTAAGGTCTGCTCCCAGCTTACCTGGTTCCCTCTTTTCTCTCTCTCTCTCTCTCTCTCTCTCTCTCTCTCTCTCTCTCTGATTTTCACTTTTTATTTGGAGGGAGGTTTTTTGAGATTTATAAAATTTTAATTGAATTTTTGAGGATTTTGTTAATACTAAGATTCCCCTCCCCTATCTGTAACCCTTATTACCTGTCAACCTGTCATCTAATTTCACGTACTTTGTTCTAGTTTGCCTTCAGTTGCTGTGACGAAACACTGTGACCAATACCAACTTGGGGAGGAAAGGGTTTATTTGGTTTATATCTCCTGGGTCACAGTTCATCACTGAAGGAGTCCAAGTTAGGAACTCAGGGCAGAAACCTGGAGACAGGAGCTGAAGCACAGGTCATGGAAGATAGCTGCTTACTGGCTTCCCCTGGCCCCTGCTCAACATGCATTCTTATAAAATAAAGAACTACCTGCCCAGGGGTGGCACTGCCCACAGTGGACTGGGCCCTCTCATATCACTCAACAATCAGGAAAATACCTGATAGGCATGACCACAGGCCAGTCCAATGGAGGCAATTCCCTAATTGAGGCTCCCTCTGCCCAGGTGTGTCAAGTTGACAACTAAAGCTATCCATAACTGAAGCATGCATGTAGAGTTAAATTTATGTCCTCCAAATGCCCTTCAGTGTGGGTCCATCCACTGGAGCCTGGTTAACCTACCAAGAGTCTCACCCTTAAACTAGATTGATTCTCCCCCTCCCAGCAGACATCAGTTGCCATTAGTTCCTCAGGTAGGGTTGAGGTTTTTAGAAAAAATATATGGAAACCTAATATTACAGAAGCTTCTTAGGGCATATACATATGTATTATAAAAAGAGATTAAAAGGAGTTGCCATATAACAAGGGGACATTGCCCCTACTAAACACCATAGACTACCAAGTAAAAGACCATGCCAGGAATGGCCTCTCTTTTCTGAAGCTGTTGATCAAGGGACCAACAAACTGTCCCTCAAACAATATTGGCCACTGGCCCTGCTGTTGGGTAGTATGTGTGTTGCGTGCGTGCGTGCGCATGCGTGCGTGCGTGCATGCGTGTGTGTGTGTGTGTGTGTGTGTGTGTTTATTTAGGCCAGATATCAGGGTTAGCACGCAGGACCCTCATAACTAATCATTTATTTAAAAAAACAAACAAAATTCAGGGCTGGAGAGATGGTTTAGCAGTTAAGAGCACTAGCTGCTCTTGCAGAGGACCCAGGTTCAGTTCCCAGCACCCACATGGCAACTAACAACTGTCCTAACTCCAGTTCCAAGGGATCCAATGCTGTCTTCTGACCTCTGCATGCATTGCATGACATGCAAACAATACACTCATACACATAAAAAAAATAAATAAATAAATAAATAAATAAATAAGAATGCTTAT